GGGAAGCAGAAGTTGGTCAAGTCTTGAGACCCCGACGACTCACATGGGAGAACCGTAGATTGAGTTCCAGATACCAGAGCTTTGCCATGGCCCGCCCATAGCTAGTTATCAGCATCTGGGGAGAACACCCAGCAGATGGCAGATCTCTCTCTTACTGCTTTTCAAATACAACAAAAAAAAGGAAAGGCAATTAGCGTAACCCAAGGGGGCGGAGGCGGTGCTGCTCAGTGAAAATGGCGGACGAGACTGAGGGTAGGTTTTCTGAGAGGCTTCCTATGAAGCCAAGTCTGGAAATCACCAGCAGGGAGTCCTTGAGCCCCGGCATGTGCCAGCACCGGGACCAGCAGCCTACGTTGAAATGAAAGCCGGTTGAGGAGGGGAGGGGAGGCTTTCCCTATTCATCGCCTCCACCAGGAAGTGGTGCACCTGGTGCCGGCTGTTCCATTTCCCCCCCTCCCCGCGGCGCCGCGTCTTGAATGGAAACATGGCGGTGCCGGCTCGGACCTGCGGCGCCGCTCGGCCCGGCCCCGCGCGTACTGCGCGACCCCGGCCCGGCCGCGGCCCCCGGCCCGGCCCCAGTGCCCGGCGCCCGGCGTCCCGGACCCCGCGCCCGCTGCTGCTGCTGCTGCTGCTGCTGCCGCTGCTGCTTCTCCCGCTGCTCGCCGCCCCCGGCGCCTCTGCCTACAGCTTCCCACAGCAGCACACGTAAGTGTCCGCGGTCGCCCGCGGGACCCCGACCGAGCTCCGCGCCCCTCTGCGCCCCGCGGTCCGCGCCAGTCCCTCCTCGCGCCCGACGCTGGGGCGAGGGCGCTGGATCCCGCTACCCGCTGCGTCTGGGGGCGGCGGCCCCGAGCCCTGAGAGCCAGCAGCCGCGGTCTTAGCTCTTCTGGCTGCGTCGCGAAACTTCCCCGCGGTGTCCCTGCTTCCCCGCCAGTCCCCCGAAACGGGGCAAGGCGAGATCTCCAAGCCGCGGGATGCGGGGTCTGAGCTTGTCAGCTAATTGTCCTGCCACTGTCCCGCTGAGGGGAATCCGGAATTGGGTAAGGGGGCGGTTGGGACCCCCAGCCCAGAAGAGGCTGGGCGGCTTGTCCCTCCACGTTCCCAGACCCGTGGGGATAGGCGCTATGGAGCCAGGGGTGCAGGCACCTCCACACCTGTCTTCATGAGCTTCTTTCTTTTGGGGGGTCTGGATGCCGAGGATGTGGGCACCACAGAGGGTCAGCGCTGTTCCTGGCCCTCCTCTACCTGAGGGGAGGGTCCCCTGGCCAGACCAGTTGAGAGGTGCAAGTGTTGGGGTCAGGACAGAAGGTGAATGGCAGGAAGGACCCCTGTGTGCCCCTGCCTACGCCACGAGGCTGCCGCCAGTAGCATCCCCAGCTCTGCCAGCTTGTGCCGGTCCCAAGAGTCCTGAGCCCCTCAACCCTCCCAGGAGCCAGCAGACTCAGTGGCCTCCCCTTGGTGAGGGTGGCCAGATGTGTCTGGGGCTGGGAGGGATCGTCTGTCTGTTTCCCAACACCATGCCCCAGCCGGATGTCTGCCCAGATGTCCCTTTGGGGCACAGTGACCACCTTGCTTCTGTTTCCTGTGCCTGGGTCTCAGGAGTCACTTGTCCCTGGACTCTGCCACCAGGGCCTTGGCCTGGGGCCTGGGGCCACAGGGAAAGGTCTAGCCTCCGGGAAGGGGAAGGACTGGCCCTGCGTCATTAGACCCGTTCTGCACAAGGGTAGGCGCCCCTGGCTCGGCCAGGAACCCTGCTGACTCCAGCCTGTGGGTTCTCCCGGATGAAGGCAAAGCAAAGTCGGGAAAGGGTTTTGCTCTGAGTCCCTCCCTTGTCTTGTCGTCTCTCTCCTTGCACAGCCAGGCTGTGCTCAGGCGGGTGATCAGTTGGCAAATTACAGGTGCGGCACGAACGTGTCCTCTGTCAACTGTCTGGGTTGCTTGCGTGTGTGTGTCGGGGTGCGCAGGGAGCAGAGAATCGTGTGGAAGTTCAAGGCTGGTGGGGGCATTGTCTTTCTTTCGTTATGATGAAAATGGTCTTCAGCCACAGCATTTGAACTGAGCAAAAGCATTGTGTTTTTGTTGTTCTTTATTCCTCAAAGCCAGGCACAAGGCAAGCCACAGAGATGTCTTTCCTAGCCGTGTCGTAGCTCCTTGAATGATGGCTTAAGCAGGCGTCTCCTTCCACTGCTCCTACCCCACTCCCGTTTCCCGCAGCCTGCTGAGGTACAGGCAGCCGCTGGGTCTGTGTGGGTCTCCTCTGGAAGGGTGGCGTGAGACCCTGACCAAAGTGGACACCTGTCCCCAGCCGGGAGATGGCAAGGCGGCTGTGACGGCTGTGGATGCTCTCCTGGCGTCGATGTAGTTGGAGCTGATTCAAGTGTTTGGGCCACATCTTGCAAACCATAATTAGGGAATGAGAGTGGGGATGGAGTGGGGGGGACGCACACCGCCCTGAGGGGCCAGGGGGGGGGTGACTAATAGAGGCGGCATGAAAGGTTTGCCGTTGACAACCAGCGCCCTTCAGCTGCCCTGGTCCCGCAGATGCAGGTGCCCGTTGATCCTCGGAACGAGACTGGGGAGGGCGTCCTGAGGATTCCGCCCCTCCGTGGCTGTGGCTGGCTGGAGTTGGGGCTTTTGTTGAGCTGATGTGAAAGGCGGAGGCTGCTGCTGCGGCCACAGGGCCCTGGGGCTGCTCAGGGACGAGTGGCCTCCCTGACCCTGCTGGGGGCTCAGTGGAGCCAGGCCAGGCGGGCACTTTGATACAGGTGGATTTCCAAGGTGGAGGGTGAGCCCCCTCGGCCTCAGGGTGCTGAGGTGACAGCCCCGGGTGAGGAGGGCAGGCCATGTGAAAGCAATTTCCTCGTTACCGTCTGCCAGCTGCCAGCATGAAGGGGCCCAGTGTTGCAAGCTGCTTGGGCTTCAGCAAGTGCTGGGGTCCATGGTCGTGTGGTCGTTATTCCTGTAATGGCAGTGATGGCATGGCTCTCTGCCTGCCGGGAGAAGCGGACCGAGGCTGCCGCTGGATTGAGAAGGGGACGGAAGCAGGCCCTGGAGGGAGGACAGGTCCTCGGGTGCAGGGAGGGGGCCCCCTCACCCCCACCAGTGCCTGGATCCTGGTTTCAAATGAGGCGGCCCTGGGTGTGTCGTGTGCGTGCGCGTGTGAGCCCTGGCTTGTCTGGGGCAGGAGGAGATGGAGTCGGAGCACACTTCTCCTCACCTGCCGCTGCCTCCCCCTCCCTCCCCCCTCCCCCTCCCCATTATGCCCACCAGGTGGTGGCATTCAGTCCCTGCTGCTTTGTGCGCCCTGCATCTTCCCTACCCCACTCCCCTGACCCCCTTCTCCGCTCGCTCGTTCCACTTCTTTCCCCATCCCTCTCGTCAGCTTGTGCCCACCCGGCCCTGCCCACCTCTTTTGTCCTGCCTTTGGGCCTCTGCACCCCATTCTCAGGCATCCCTGCCCTTCTCTGGCTCCTGCTCCAGAGAGTCTTGGCTGAATGCTGTGTCCAACAGCTGTCGAGGGGCCCGCCTAGCTGCGCCCTCCTCTGCCAGCTCTGCTGTGGGGATGGTGTTGGGCAGCACCTCTCTCTCTGGGGTAGCAGTGAGGGGCCTGAGGTTTGAGCCCCCAGCAGGTGGATGACAGCCAGAGTCCCTGCTCCCCTTCTGAGCGGGCAGACACATGGGGAGCAGTGCCCATGACAGGGCATGCGTCAACCTAGCCCCGGTTAATGGTGGGTGACGTGTGTCTGTCTGGGCCTCTGAGGCCCTGTCTCCACCTCCCTGTTGCTCTCCCTGTTGGAGGGAGGCAGCATTGCACATCTGGGTCCCCAACCTGCCGCAGCTTTGGCGGTGGGGGGGGGGGTAGTTTTGCCGCCTGCTGCTGCTGTCGCAGAACGCAGATCTGCTGGCGCTCCTGCCGCTCTCCCGTTGCGTCTTCTGGGAGTAAGGATTTTGGGGGACCCTTGGTTGTGCCTGCCCCTGGGGCCTCACCTCTGATAGGAGCTTCCTTCTGGCCAGTTGGGTCAGGTCAACCTCTGAGAAGGGAGGAGGCCCCTTTCTCCATGTGTCCTCGCTCAGTCCGAGGGCGAGTCTCTCTCTGGATTTTTTGTCAAGAGGAGAGACCGGCTCCCTCCAGGGTGAGGCTGGCCCCACACGTGGAGGCAGCGGGTCCCTCTGCCCTCTGCCTGTGTGCAAGGGAACACCACGAGTTCCCCACCCGGTGGGTGTGGATGAGTGGACTCTGCCAGCTCCTGGGAGGAGGCAGTGTGGGGGACTGTGGGCTTAAACTGCAGCCTCCTGGGCGGACCCTCTGCATTGGGATGACCTTGCCTCAGTTTCCCCAGCTGAGATAGTAGAATCTGCTTAAGAGGCTGCTGTGAGAATTGGCGGGAGAGCGTGCAGCCTCTGGTGGGCGTGGGGACTCCCGTCAGGTGCCGCTGCGGTGATTGTGTCCGTGTCCTACCCAGAGGCTGCAGGGGTCCTCTCCTGCCAGTGCCCTCCCACGGGCTGAGTGCCTTCCGGTCTCTGCTCTGCTCAGCGCCCCCAGCCACTGCATGACCTTCTCAGGGGTTAGATCCCCTGCTTCAAGGTCTCATGCCTGCACCTCTGGGGCCTCCCCCGTCACCTCCTCAGGAGGTTCCCACTCACAGGATACCAGCTCTTTGTGGACAGACACTGGGCCATGTCCCTCTCAGCCTCCCTGAAGCCCTGCTTGGCTGTGGTGTGTGTGGTCACCAGGCAAACGGTGACCTCTCCTCGCTGAGAACAGCTCAGGCCCCAGAACCTGTGGTCATACCCATTGCATGGACAGGGCGACTGGGACTCAGAAAGGCGATGGTACCTGTCCAAAGCCCACAACTACAAGAGGCAGAAGTAGGAGAGGATTGTCTGTCTCAGAGACATCTGGGGAGTGGGCCCAGGATAAGGGGGTGGGGGCTAGAACCCAAATCTTTGGGAAGAAAACAAAGAGGCGGTGGGCACAGGCCTCCATGCTGTGACCCTTGTGGCACTGTTCCTCTTTGCTGCTCCAGGTTTTGGGCAACCCTGAGGGGCCCTCGCTGGCCCAAGGTTGCCCTGCCAGCCCCCAGGCTGTCGTGGAGCAGCCCAACCAGAGTTCTCCCTCTCCAGAGGCATTGAATCAAGGGCCAGGCCTCCCGGACATGGCTGGGGCAGGAGGGGCTCCATCTGGAGGTGTCTTGCTCTAGATGCCAGTGTGGTTCTGGAAAGAATGGTCAAGAGGTAGGGTTTGTTCGCGCAAGCCTGAGGCTGGCCCTTCTCAGCCATTTTGCCAGGCTCAAGGGCCTTGGACAGACTCAGACCTTGTAGATGGTGGGGCTCATGCCTGGACTTGGGGAGCTGGGGGCTGGGGCAAGGGTGAGGGCTCATTGCTAGAGAAGGACTGGGTGCAGCTGAAGGTTCGGGAGCCAAAACGAACAGGTGTGGGCCCTTCTGGCAGGGTGGTGGTGTCTATGGGAGGAGTGGCTTCTCTGTCTCCTCTCTCTTCTCTCTTTTCTCTCTCTCCTCCTTCCAGCCATTCCATCTCCACTCCACAATTTGCCTTCAGACCTAGTGGTTGGGCTTGGAGCCCAGAGTGTGTGTTGAGGGGGGCCTAGGGCACCCAAGGCAGGGTGGGGCTTTCCCCTTTGGGGCCGGCAGGCAGCCCTGTCACCGCTGGGGGGAATTCTCTTCATGTCTGGTTGTTGGTTTTT